TTCACTTTCTTCAATTTATGAGTAGATGAGACTATAGGTGAAGAGGATACCAGCTCGTCTAGGGGAAATAACTCTAAACAAATTCTGCTAGTTTGGAAGTAGTGAGGAAGCAGTCATGTCCACTGCCTAGTGCCTACAACAAGTCCAGGAGAGATTCAACTCACTGGCTCATAAATGATAACTGGCCTCCAAATTATATGTCTCCAGCAAATCATATAAAAGATAAACAAAAAGGAATATTGGATGCATTAACATTGGAATCTGAATGAATCTCCCCCCAAAACAGTAAGAATTGGAATTAGTAATAAACAAACTGCCACGATGGACTTAGTAATAATAACTGAAACAATGAAAACATAAAAAGGACCAATGGACATAGGATCTTATACAATAATATATAGTGGAATCCTGATAGATAATAGAGCTGCTGCAGGAATAGGAATACTAATACATGAAAAATAGAGAAGCAAAGCTTCACTTTATAGTTGGGTAAACAAATGAATAGCTCTTGCAGACTAAATATCAAAAGATAGTATCTAAGTATTTTAGCAGTGAATGCAGCAGAAGAGGTAGGACAGAAGAGTCCTAGGGTGGCTGGTGCAAGTGATGCATGGCACTGGAGACTGAAAAGCCAAGGGCCCCAAACGAGGACAACAGCCAACCCCCAATAATGATGGCAAATGGCAACGGGGACCACCCTCTGTATTGGGGATCTTGAGATGTAGCTACACTTCTGGAAGAGTCATATGTTTTCTATGATGAATTACAAGATGTATTAGATTCTGTAAACAAAATTAATTATATTCTACCAGCAGAAAATCATAATACAATATCTGGACAACAACCTATTGTAAAGCTAATCGGAGCAATGGTGAATCCCCATAAAATCAAATGGAAACATTTTAAGAGATTTTATCAATTATAATGATCTAAGATTAGAGAATTTCTTCTTCAAACAAAAAGACATTCATAAATAGTGTACTTGGGCTGTCAGATAAAGGCACTCAAAATTATATCTGTACATAATCAATGGAAAAATAGGAAAATGCTTTAAAGATGTAGGAGTGTAAAGGGAGAAATAATGGAACTGACCACTACTTCGTGAGAGGTAATAGCGGTCTACAATCAAGATGGTTTAAGAATGATAAAAACAAATCAGACCTTCATAATCAAAACTGGCAGAGTTATCACCTGAAAGTCCATTCAAGAGCAGGCTAATTTAAGGAAAGAGTTATGTACAATGATACCCAAATTAATGGAAGAATAAAATGAGGTGAGATGCTCCAGGGAATTATAAATAAAGGAGCATGATAAGAGTGTTGTATATCTTCCACACATCATGTGGATGATCTTATCAGAATATGGAAGCAAAATATTCTGCCTCTAAATCTTACACATACTTTTAATAACAAAAATGTTTACTGACATTTCTTTTTGTTGACAAATTCTGATATCTGATAATGAAGATTCTCCAAAAAACTCTTACATGAACGGCAGATAAACATAAAATAATATAATTCAGACATTTCTGTTCAAAAAACTAAGTCAATTACATTTCAAGGGAAATACCTGGTTAGATGAAAATTAGAAAATTCAGAAATACCTTGGAATTTATTAACTAAATACACAAAATCTTGGAGAGATTACATCAACACCCCAATATCAACCGCAGATTCAGAAGATGAAGCCATGGGGAAAAAGGAATATTAGAAGACTAAAAAGATGTCATCCAGTAATATGATGCAACAGAATGGAAGTTTTAATGCTTAAAGAATATTAAATGTATTATTTAAATGTTCTAGGTGATGGGAAACAAATAAATATCTGAAAAACTCCCAATTTTCAAATACAATAGGTTGTAACAATCCATATTGAGTTCCCATTCTTTATTGTAATCTTAGGGATGCCCTCTGAGGTATAGGGCACTCCTGATCTCAGAAGACATTTTGGTATGTGATCCCTAACATGCCTCCTGACGAATAAAAGTCAATGATTTTTTTGCATCTTTAAATTAACTAAAAGTTTCTGTATAAAGTTGATTGTAGATTTATTGCCTACTGACATTACATTTAATGTGTAATCATGTCAGTTCAGGATTTTTAGATATTTTCCTTTGCTTTTTTTGAAACAAAATATATTTCATTAGTTAATGACCACTTCGAACAACATTTCAGTGTTACAAAACAATTTTAAATGTTTATCAATCTAGAAATATATAATGCTTACCAGAATGAAAGAATAACTCACTAAAATTAATATCTTCATGTGACCTGAGAAAGAGGCATTGAGAATACTCACTGTTGGGGGTCCTTGTACCCTAACAATTTTGTATAAATACTGGTATAATTATACGTACTGAAAAATTTTACGATTCAAAGAATTTTTTTGTGTTGTTTAAGTTTTATTTTTCATTTAATTTTTTCTTTTGTAATAAATTCTACACACAGATATACTCTTCTCTTTGGAATTTTTCTTCCAATAAAAATATTTAAATTACACATTACTTTACTAATCCTATCAATTTAGTAAAAGGTATTATAAGATAAAAAAGTAGCCATTATCTTACAAAATTAGGAATGAAAAGTTTTTTAAAACTTACACCTCATCATTTAAATTTTTAAAATTTTGATTTGAGGAAATGTCAGAAGAGGCTAATTTTGATATCTAAAGTAGTTCCGTAACATTTTTTTATTGATAGTAACAATGAGTAATTCTCTTATTTAATGCCAAATTAATTATTTTAAAGGAAACTATTTAATATAGTGTTGTCTTATTAAATACATAATGTGAAATTGATTTTCTTTAAACATATGTTCATAAAGTGTACTTTTGTAAGCAACTTTTAAAGTTACATCTGGAAGTGAATAGCACATGTGGCAGAGGACACATGTGCTTATTCACATGTGGCACATGAGCACTGAACAATCAACATAAATGTCTCATGGACAACGTAGCAATTCATAAATTGAATTGAATGAAATTGAAGGATGAAATAAATGTTGAAGGTAATGTGAAATTGTTAATATAAAAAACAAAATGAATATTGATATAAAAATGTTTGAAAGAAAATTAAAGACATGTAATATTAAATTATCTTACGAACTTCTTAAATTTTGTCATTTCAATTTCTTTCTCTAATAATTATTTTATGAAATTTTTAGTAACAGATGTGTAGGTCAAAGATTATAAGAACAATGATGCAAGTTTGAACTTTTTGGTTCATTTGGTCGTGCGTTAGTTATTTTGCTTCAAGTGTACAAATGCTCTCTTCCAAAACTACAAAGAACAAAAGTATTTATATATTAAGACAGGATAGAAATCATGTAAGAAAGTAAACAAAGTAAGTAAATGAAACTAGATGTGTTAAAGATGCTAGAAAAAATTGTAATAACTAAATTTTATGACAGTAAATATTTTGAAATTTTATCCTTTAAATCATATCTTATTAGTGATTGTCTAAAGCAATCTAATTTAATAGGAGATTTATTAACATTGTGGGTTTCAAATACTAATCCTCAAAAGGATGATATTGTTTTTGAATGAAATTCAAAATCATAAGTTTAAGTTAGTTGTTCAATATTATGGATATGAGATTTTCTTTCTGTTCTCATAATTGCTTCAGTTGCAATCAAGAGTTGTACATCACCTCACTTGAAGGATATAAATTGTTACATAACAGTTACATAAATTTTCATATAACAGAGTTAATACTTTCTTTCTTACATTATAACATACAGGATCTTTACTTAACTCACAAGCCGCATGGCTAAGAACTACCACCCAGCAATTTGGCAATTTGGCAACACATGAAATATCCTCGGTATCCCTTTCACTTTTAGCGACCTCTGGCCACATCCCCTCATATTTCAGGCTGGAAAAAATGCATATACTTTTAAATAAACGAAAGAGAAAGCACTTATTCTGTCCTTGCTACTCTTCAATGTGTTGCAGCCACTACTCTGAAAAGAGCAAACACCCCTCGTTCTTGGCAATAGTATTCACTTTGAGCTTTTACTGTAAGGTCAGTTTATTGTCATTTTAAGGAAATAATGATTTATTAATTTTATTCATTAATTTCAATAATTGTTAATTTTCTACTTATTTGTATTTTATTAATATTTTTATTAATTTTATTAAGACTTTATTTTTTTAATTTGCAGATTACATAATAATAATAATAATACTATTAATTATTATTATTATTATTATTATTATTATTATTATTATTATTGTTATTGTTAACAAATTGAAAAGAGCTTGGCGGTAATGTTTTACAAGATATTTTTCTGATTTCTCTCCAAGTTGGCTTTCATTAAATAATAATTATTGTTACATTGCTGTTAATGAATTGATATATCATTCATAACCTCCCTCGATATTTTCAGGATTACAGTTTTGTTTCTTAAGCATATTGGACAGAATCACCTAAAAAGACATTTTGTTTGCCCTCTCATATCTCTGCTTACCCCTCCCCACTCCAGCCATCCTGTGCAGTGCGACAATTGAGTGCGAACCACATACCTGCCTCCCTAAACTGTTGAATGAGAAAAACTCAGAAACGGGACAGTTGCTGCAGCTTATGACCTGACACTCACCTCTTCCCAGAAGAGTATGGGTATGCCATCACTTCTGCTGTCTCGTTGTCAGTGTCTTGAAATTACACAATTACGCAGTGGTTGGCCAATTGTCAAAACAACAACAGGTGCTACCAGTCATGGGTTGCTAAATATGGTAATGACCCAGTATTCTTTCAGTTTTTACAGGTCTGTAGCAATATTTAATGAAGAATTAATTTCTCCAAAAATATAAAATGAACTTTGTGACTATCATTTATGAAAAACACTTTATAATTATTATGCCCAAAAAGAAGTTCTTTAAAAAGAAAAAAATTGATCATTAAGAAAATAACTTACTTATCTTAATTGTCTCTAAGAAAGACTTGTTATTGTTAAGCAGTTCATATTTTTTAATACTTTATTTATATGAAATTCTATTAATTATTCTGGAGAAATACAATCTCAAAAAAAGTGTCTGAATTTAATATAATAATGTTTTATAGGATTCACAGTCATCCCAAAGATAATGACAACCTATGAACTCCCTTACCATCCAATGGTTCTGCTGCTGGCTTTCTTCTGCTGCTGAAATGTATTGCCTATGTGAAATAAATATTAACAAGTTTTTTCTAATAAACAAAAATGATGATAAATAATTGTAAGGTTTTATGTTTATTTACTGTACATGATATGGAAAAATCTTAAGAATTATCTCATAAGATTTTTCAAGCATAATCAGCTTTGTATAAATTTGACATAGCTCACTCACATATATGCAAATTTAAAATTTTTGATAAATGCGTTATACGAAACCATTTTCCATAAATTTTATATTTATTCATTTGTATGAGATAATGAATAATGTCTCAAATGTACCAATCTATAAATATAAATTTGTAGATAGGAGGAACTAATAAAACATCGCTGAAACTATCACCAGTTTATCATTTTCAACACTTTCTTCATGTAATATCGAAGTTGGTTGGCATTCAACAATTTGTTGTCTATCCCAATAAAATGCAGTGAATGGCATTATAGAAGAAAATTTGATCTTCTTATGAGACTGTGATTTCTGTAACCATTCCAGATAGCTAAATGATTACAAAAGTTGATTTATGTAACCATTTATCTTTATCTGTAACTCAAATGTGACAATGAGAGACAGATATAATTGAATTATATTTCGTTTCATAAAATAAAATCTTAACAAATTGTTTTAAATTTCTTTCCCAAAATCTCTTCAAATATTAATTGAAAAACTGAACACCATCAATTGAAAGAAATAAGAGAAAGAAAATCTCAAAGAATTGTCTATTTCTCGAAATAGGTAGTATGAATTTTAGTTGATTCAAAAAAATACAAACTCCCCTTAAATGATTTTAATTTTCTCATGCGGTGCCAATTCCAGAAATAAATAATTGTAAGTTGAAGAACATATTGACACTAGCATGGCAAATTTTTTGAGAAATTATTTTTAATTTAAAATTAAAAAAAAGAATTAAAAAAAATTGAAATTAACTTACCTATTTCATTAAATGTTCACTTTACTTAGTTATACTGAATGTAATTACTGATATCCAGTGAAATAAGCACAATCTTAACACAAAATATGGTAACATTACTCGGCCTGAAATTATTCTCACTAATCCTGCAAATATATTTTTATCATCTTATACCAATAGCATAAGATAATTACTCAGATATCTTCACAATGAATGTTTAAGTTTATCATAATATTCTCTGTTCTTATTTGAGTGTGTCACAATTAGGGAATATCAAACAAATGGAAAAAGTGAGACATACAAGGCTCTCATGTAAGTGGTAAATTGAAACACATTTGCATGTTCTCAGTCTACTGTAGGAAGAACAACAAAATACACAAAATATTTCATGTTGAATCAGTCATGAATACATATACCAAATACAGAATTATGTATTTTAAATGACAAATAAATATATATTTCCTATTATTCATAATTATTATTGCTTCACAATATATACTATCTCACAGATGAACTAGGCAAAAATGATGTCAATGAAATACGTAAACTTATAATGACAATTCACTATTTACACTAAAATGAAAAGGATGTGAGATGAGATGAGTTATGAGTGGAAATAAATACAGCCTTGTCTACTAAATACCAATTTTGTAATGTCCACTTGGCACAATTAAGTTCTGACAAGGTGAATTTTAAAGGAATTTAGAACTGTTATTTGCAGGTATGTCGATCAATCTGCGTTTCACAGGTTTTGCACCGAACGTAGCAGCACCAAACAAATTTGCATTGACACCTTTCTTTATGCTTCATAACCTGAAAGGAAAATTAGAATATAATAATGAGTTAAAATATATACATTTATAAATGATTAACTTCTCTAAGGGGCCATTCAAAAAATATGTTTGGAAAATTTTGCTTTTTAAACCATTTTGTAACCACTCATAATACTTACAAACAATACCCCCTCAAGATGAACATTTCAATTGAAACACTTGACTCTTTTGAGTTAAATTAATTGAATTAGACCTATGACTTTATTTACCTACAACTTTATCTACAGTAATTTGTGTCTGAATACATCAACGTATTCATTATAAGATTGACCAGTTAACAAACATACATTATTCAACATCTCTTATACTATAAAATAATAATATGTATAGGTTTGTTATATTGCATGATAGTTATATGTACAGCATTTATTATATTGTAAAATCATAATATGTAGAAGGATTATTGTACTGTAAAATCATAAAATATACATTTTGGTCCATAAAACTGTGTTTAGACCTTCTTCAGGACATGAATGTTAATATTGACATTCAGTTAGCTGTTGGAGTACTAATCAAAGTCAAACACACAAGTTATTACTCTCACAAGGTTATTATTATCAGATTTTGCTACTGACAGCTCATTTCATAACAAATTCAATTTTAACATTTATAAACTTCACAAAGTTCCAAAAATTTTTTATGAACTGAAAAGTTGATATTTTTATGATTTTACTGAACAATAAATATTGTACATATTATGATTTTATAATATAATAAATTCTGTACACATTACAATCATTCAATACTGTAACCACTAAACATTTTATGATATACGATAAAGGTCTGTTAATTGGTCAACCTTCTAATGTGTGGCTTTATTTCTTGATTTTTGTTTCCAACAGTCTGTAAAACTGTCTGTGTCTGTTTTTTAAAACAAATATTTAGAACAAACAAGTTATCATTATGCAATGCAAATGTGATAAAACTCAATAATATATATTTTGAAATATTAATGTACAAATTGATTCCTAAATGTGTAATATGTTCAAAATAATGACTGTTAGATAAACTTTTAACACTGAAGTAATTGCATGATGAAAATATGTGTGAGCAGTGGTAGGTTAATTTATTACTCTAGACAACCTCTTATATATTTATTTATGTCAACAATAGTTGAAAACTGTGTGTGACGTACTGGGGGAGTTAATTTGAAGTTACATTTAAGTCCAGAAGCAAAACAAGGGGCCATCTCAGCATTTGCTGGAGGATCAGGGAAACTGACCTCTTTGATTTTTTTGATTGATTTGAGGGAACTGACCTGATTGACCTCTTAAACTGAAATTAGACAAATAATATTACTAAATTATCAAATAGCAATATTATATTGTTTCTGAATTTGCTGATCTGCAAGTTTCAGCATGTTTTGAATACATAAACAAATCATTGACAAAAAGGACAGTTTTCATATTTTTATATTCATCATTATTATATACAGAATATCTCAAAATCAATATAACAAACTTTCACGACATGTAGGTTGCCATGTAACGATCAAAGATGATAACTTTTTGCCAATTGACATGTGTTGGCAAATAACTAAATGTGGGCCAGCGTGTACAGCAAAGGTTGCTAAGGCTGAAAAGCCGTAGCTGCCTTGCACCTGAAAGGTCACAGGTTCGAATTACATCCAGGGCATGGATGTTTGTGTGTGTCTGAATACTATTACCTTTGCTTGTAATGTTACTTACAGTGGCTGCTACATGGCCTTAGAAGTTAAACGACCTTAAATAAATGAAAACAACATCGAACAAAACAAACAAACAAAAAATCAAAAACAAACAAACAAACTAACTAACTAAATGTGGCATTTGCTCCTGATTGGAAAGCAACTCATCATTCATTGGTGTTTAATACATTCATGAAATCCTTTTGAGTGCATCTGAATGTGATGTGACTTACACTCCTGCATGATGAGTAGCCTAAAATCAGAGAAAAATGTAACATGTGTAACTTTGTTATTTGATACGTCCCATCATATGTTAATTGGCAAAAAGTGATATTTTTTAACTCTGTACATACTCTAGGAGTTTGTAACATTTATTCTGAGACACCTGCATGCTTCATATTCACATGAAGTTAGAAACTTTTAGTTACAAGAAACAAATTATAATTGCAAATATTAATGCATATAGCCAACTTTCATTAGTTATTAATTTTGAACACTCCATTTTAACACAAAAACAGTGATATAAAAAAATTGTGAATATGGAATTTTTCACCAGACACCTCTCTTCTCCTTGTTTGTTTTGTCACAATTGTGCAAAACCCTTCCCTCCTAAATGCAAATGTATTTTTGAATGGCGTCTAGTATGTTATTAACAATTGTAAAATATAGCTAGCAAACTATTTAATTAAATTATTTTTTCAATGCATGAGATTTTGTTCATGAGGCTATTGAATACATTTTTTCAATTAGACAATTAATGAGCTGAAAAAATTAAGAACAATTACTTATTTTCAATTGGTCCAACTTTAAGTGAACATTTTCACTTGTATTTAAACTTTACAAATATGTTGAAATAAAAACAAAATATTACACTAAATATTTTGAAAAACACTGGGGAATTTTTAGTCATTCACTCTCTTCTTATCTGCGACCAAGTTAATTTTTTATTTTCTTTGTAACAATGTTATATTAAAGGTTTTTCAAACTCATGACAGGTATTATGAAGAAAAGAAACACAAAGAGCATTTACACTGTTTGTTTATTACAGCCCTTAATGAATAGTAAGCTTAGTTCACATCACGTTTTTATTACATAATATTGCAGAAAACTGATTTTTCTCTAGATCGTTGAATGCAGGTTATCAAATTTCTTCCACACCATTCATATTGGTACCAGCTTGTCATAACACTAAATTTATTTTTCAAGTTCTCAAATTTGACCACAACACACACTTTGTTACCAAATTAACTGACTGAAAATTTCATTTAAATCTTTAACTTCACAGTAAAACATTGCATTACCTACTAGTTCTACAGAAACCAAAATTTGGTAAAATCAATATAAAAAATGTAAGGAAATATGGAAGTAAACATGAATTTATTAATTGATGAACAAAAGCACAGTGAAGAATGGGCACTTAAAATAAAATGTATGTTATAAAAGTGAATGGTCATCTTAAAAAAAATATGCTTAATTAACAATATTTCTGTTCCATCTTACTGGAAACATTCAGATTTTAATAAATTCACGAAATAGAAGAAATGTTTGTGGTTGAAATGTAAATGGTTCTGTCTGGGGCCACAAATAACTGCAATATAGATCTAGTAAAACCACAATTTTTGCTTCATACCACACCATTATTTTTTCATAATTCAAAGATTTCTTTAGTCTTTCAAATAAAATCTAAAACACCATCACACAGATGGATTTTGATTACACTGGTCAACATGATTTTTGTCTCATGAGCACCAATAGGCAGGGGCAGATCCTGAGATGAATTTGGGGGACGAAATGTGTACACGCATGCCCACCCACACCCACACACACACACACACACAGATAATATAAATTATAAACAAGGTAAATTATTTATCAAAAAATGATTTTAAGAAAATTAAAATATTACATTATATATTTTATGAATACTTTATGGTTTTAAATTAAAAATAGTAATAATTTGTTATTAAAATGGTGGAATTATGAGCTGCAAAACGACGAAGGATTAATGTATTATATTTTTCATTTTATGATACAATTGTGAACATTTAGAATTTAAATAAAAACGCATGATATCGATTTACAAATTCGCTTACATACGAGTACAAACATTACAGTCCAAGACTAAAGAAAGTCGGATGGATTTCACAAAATATGTCTGAGTTATTAGATTACTTTATCTTTTCTTCTATTCTTTTTAGACATTTTCTTTCTCTTAAGTACTTATTAACCGCGCCGTCTTCAGGCGCATGTCTGCGAAGCGTCTCCATGTCCTATTCTTTCGTTTCGGGCACACTGTAATTGCGCGAAATGATACAGCGGCCCACGATCACCTGGTTGGCATCTAGAGAGACCTTACTCCGTCGACAATGTTTCCGTTGCGTCGGCCACACTCCAATACGTGGAAGTCGCCGTAGCAGCGCTTGTCATGCGTAGGGTCAAGCGGAGTAAGAAAAAGTTATGAGCTGTCACATGCCTCTGGAGAACAGATTCACATTAGTAACTCAAAGGCTAAGGAGAGAACGCGCGGTTATTTTTTCGATACATTTAAGACGTTTCCACAATTTTCCTTACGTTTCTCATTTTTATATTTCCTGCACTTTTACCATTTTAATTTTTTCCCTAGGCCTTTGAGGGGCATGCCCCCCTCGATCCATCCACCACTGCGATTACATCAGTAACACATCCAACAGCTTGAGTTGGGTATCTGAATTTGTTTTGATACAAATTTTTACGTCACTTTTCTTTGCTTTTAGGACATTTTAAAAACATTTTAAGAGAATTTTATTGATCATTTTTGGAGATGTTTTAGGTGTTCGTTATTATATTTCCACCCTAGGGATACTATACGAGTTCGTATAAATGCCCGACTGTGAGTCGAGTGTGATCTGCAGATTAAGATAGATTTTTATCAAAAATGTTTTGGTCGAATGTGTCAGATTTTGTAGAATGACGCAGACTAAACCCAGCTTATGCTGCAATACGATTTTATTCGTTTTAATGATTATCCGAAAATATTTGTGTCAGAATAAATTTGTGAGTGTGTTAGATAGTGTGAAGGACGCTTAAATGAATGGTACAGGTCTCATGTTCGTTTAAAACCCTAATTTTTGAAAATTGCAAAAGTTCCAAATTTTTTTTCGGAGTCTTCCGAAACTCGAATATTAAAGATAAAGATTTTGAAATAAAGTCATGTACAATTTTTCGAAAATGTGAGTACTTTTCGGGTAATTTTTTGTGAAAATATTCATTCTTTCTTTGAATAATCTAAACAATTTTAGCTACGTATGTGGTTTGTTCCAAAGGCGAAACCTTAC